ACAGTATCTACCAAAGAAATGTTTCAAAAACAAACAAAGCAGAGAAAACCAAAAGAACAAATTAATAAATAAAAGAATATTTTTCTGAAACTAAAAAAAAAATTACCTTCCAAATTGAAAAGACTTACTGAATACCAAGAAACAGGACTATACTAGAGATGAAAAGAAAGCCTGAGAAGATTCCATAAAGGAAAAACAGATCACAAAGATTTCAGAATTAGTCTAGAACTTTCAATAACACAGGAACCTAGAAAACAATGAAGCAATGTCTTCAAAAGTCTAAGAAAAAAATTACTTCCAAATTAGAGGGCTAGAGTCCAAACCAGTTAACCAGGAATAAAGACTTGGTCATACATGCAAACTTCCTATCATCCTTTCTCAAAAAGCTACTGGAGGAAGTGCTCCTATAAAACAAGAAATAAACCAGAAACAAGAAAGACAGGCACAGATATACAATATAAAAGAGAAGGAAAAGGACTATCTTTGGGAGATGGTGAAGGGAAGACTCACAATAGCAGGCTTGGAGATAAACCAGTCCAGACTGGATTAGGACCCCAGGAAACTGCCAAGGCATTCTCAGGGCTGGGAGGCAAACTGATAGATGACCTGATCTTGACTTGTTTAGAAGGATTGTATAGTTCTGTTCAACAGTTTGGGTCCTAACTTCTGATTGAAATTCTATTCATTATAGAAAAAAGAAAAGAGGAGACAATTATAATTATGGGAGCTCTAGTGGCATAGTGCCTAAGGCATCTGACTGTTAACCAGAAGGCTGGTGGTTCAAACCCACCAGTCATTCCTCAGAAGGAAGATTTGGCAATCTACTTCCATAGAGATACCCGCCTCAGAAACCCAAGGAGGGGTCACTATGGGTCAATTAGGAAATCAAAAATCTGACCAAGTAAAGAAATGTAACCATAATATACTAATGTGAATTGGCTATGAGCAGTACCATCATCATAAGATTATAAATATTATAAATTAATTTAAGCCAAAAATATGGAGGTAGGAGAAATGAATGTGGCAATGGAGAATACAACCACAGAAAGTCTTCTCTTGATGTGTTTCTTTGGGCTCAATACACTGGTAGTTCCATCTAAAGCCTTGTTCAGATTTAGGTTTAATTCTCTTGACAACATTACTTCATAGATGATTTTTGCATACTTCCATCAGGATATATAATAATATCTAGCTGCCTCTCTTTTCATGATATTAGCAGCTATTGAAAATTATTGCTTAAATGTATTAATTTATCAGGGCTTGCAAAATGGTGATTCTTAATTCTCTCATTATATTTTGATTTACTAGTGGGGAAATTTACCCTCATCAACATGGGGTAGATCTTATAAAGGAATAGCAGAAAATTAAATACTTGGTCATTTGCTTTATTTACCAGTTTTCAAAACTGATCTTTGTTTGTTCTTATAAAAGCTATAGGTCTTTATATATTATTTTATAATCTGCCACTTAACTAAATTATTTTATTGTTTGTAGTATTTGCATTTATTCTTTGGGATTTTCCAACTTTATCATCATTTATATACAGAGAGAATTTTGCCTCTCAGGCATGCCTTCACTACCTGTAGAGATGACATTCTGCTCCTTATTCTCTTTCTTCTCATAGTTTTGCATGGGATTCAAACATTCCTCTTTCTATTGCTTATTTTTTAAGTAGAGTGAAAATTACAGAAGTTTTATAAGAGAGATGGGTGGTTAAGATAGATTTTATAGCTTCATGGAATAGAAATGGGGGGGGGGTCTCCTACACTCAGATCTTCCCATGTTTCCCTCAAACACTTATTTCTGGACCTTCTATTTCCTTTGCCCCTATTGAACCTGCCCTACATAGAACTCTACTGCAGTATTTTCTATTCAGTGTAAAGTAAGGCTTTATCCTTAAATGGTGCTTCACTTTATCATTTTAGAGAAATCACAGGAAAAAGACCAGTGAACCAGTAAAATAGCATAGAGATTTCCATGGTCTCCTTCCAATTATCTACTTACAGAAGCCATCAAAGTCCCTTTCCACCAGCCACCAATGTGTATCCACTGGCAAATGTGGGGTTTTCTAGCTCTTGGTGTAGTTAAATCCCTTTTCATTCTCTAGTCTTCCTCTGGGAGCTCTGGTAGCATAGTGGCTAAGACACTTGCCTGCTAACCAGACGGCTGGCGGTTCAAACCCACCAGCCACTCCTCGGAAGGAA